GTCAAATGAATAACTATGATTTCTGTGTTGTTGTGTTTTTGTTATATCACAAAATTATCGTTATCGTCGGAATGCTGTGAAATATCACAATATTATATTTGAGCCATATCGCCCACCCCTAGGATGAGTCTGACAGTTCAGCTGCTTTGCAGGAGGAGGAGGAGTCACAACAGAGAATCGGAATAAGACTTCATCTCTGTTTCCTGGTCTTAACCCCGGGTTCTCGTGTCATGCTTCTTAATGAGAACTGGTTTTCTAAAATGTTTCCTGGGTGCCCATCGTTTGTTGTGTCAGGTTTGGAGGACAATAGAAGGTGAAACATGTTGTCATTGGTCAGATTTGATAGAAGTCTAAAAAATATATATGAAGCTCAACAGTGTTGTTTTAGTGACCTCCAGTTGCTGTTGCCATAACTACTCACGTACATGTTGGTTTTTGGGCCTTATGATTCCTGAAATGATACACATTTTTACACAGAATTTTTCATTATGTGGATGTTTTTTAAACAGTCTGTTTGTTTTAAATTTGAACTTGGCAATAAATAAATAAAAAAACACTTAGACTGTTTAAAAAACAGTGAAGTTTAATTGAGTAGTTGCTGTTTGTGCTTTAACTCTTTAACATTTGTTGTCTTGTTGTTTTTCTTCTCCCTCCTCTTGTGTTTGTTGTATGTTTGTTTCATGCAGCCTGAGGAGGACTCACCCTGCTCCGGTGAAACACTCTAACACCTACTGTCAACTGTTCCTGACTGTAACCCTCCACATTAACATTAATCTGCACATGCTCATTTATTTACACCTTCAAGTCCAACTTTTGGACTCGTCAGGATTATATGCATGCCAAATGTCTGTAGTAATACCTCGGACATTTTCTACTCTCACTAAACATTTCTGCCTTCTTAGTTTTATTTATATATTTTATTTATCAGGAGAGGAGGCAGTGGAGCAAACGTTAGCTGTAAAATTAATAAATATTTTTGTAAAATCGTATTAATCTTACTTAAAAACCGACATACAAGAGTAATATTTAATGTCTGTATGTGTGTGTTTTATACTGTAGAACATCTCTGTCAGCATGACCTTTAACCTGACTCATCTATGTGTGTAACAGGCTCAGAGTTTAATAAAACTTCTCCAACTGGTTGTGTATATGAAGCATGTTTTTTTTGTTAAATGAGTCTGAGGTTCTGATTTATGTAGGACAGTCTGCTGGTGGTGGTGGTGGTGGTGGTGCGGGGGTCTCTACTCCACCTTTTGGCGCAGTTTGGCACCAATTTTGTATTTTTGGCTGAAAAGGATTTCTAACTTTGTACAACTCTGACCTGCCAGTACAGATTTTTGTTGGATTCTCATGTTTTTATTCGAGAACTAGAGTATAAATTAAATAATGACCAATTTCTTTTCTGTGATCCTACCATTGGCATCAGAAGCATTTGTAATGTGGTGTGGGGATCTGGGGGTACTCCCCCATAAAATTTTGAACAAAGTAGATGCCATTTCCTGCATTCTGGTGTATTTTAATGGGTTGTTAAGCATTTACATTTACCTACATATGTAAACACTTGATTCAATAACTATTTTACAGAGCAACAAGAAGTAACCTGACCAACAGCTCTCCTTGTGTGAGTAGCATGCTCTGCTTCTGTCACACATCCTAACCCTCCCACACCTCGGTCAACAATTTCCGGCACTAATGTAGCGCTAAGCTAGCGTACAACATAGAGATGTCTCCCCCTCCTCGCCGCCCTGCCAAGCCAAGTGACCTCAGGGAACACTGCTTGCCGTGTGGTGAGTTGTTGTAGGTAACCAGGAAAACCTGGTGTGGACTTTTAGTGGTTTGAGTATTGTCTTATTAATCAAGTGGAATGGATTTGTTCACAAAGAAATAGAAACAGCGCTGGGTGAACTAATATTTCATAGTAAATGTGTGTGTGGGGGGTCCAAATGAATGTTTTTTTTTAAATGTGAGGGGAACACGTCTCCTTCACTCCTTCAGTGTTTGTGATGCCTATGGCTCTTACTATAGTAAAATCACTTATTTAAAGTGTCCAGTGTTAAAATCAGGTTCAATCCCATTATTAGTGATAATTTGGCTGCAGGAACATTAGACTTTTTTTTTTGTAAAGTACAAGGCAAACAATCAAATTTCATGAATTCCAGTAAAGACTGAAAACTGGCAGCTGCTGTTCAGCTTCAGGTTACTCTGTCACCAGAAGTTGTTTCAGATGCAGTGGTTTACTAAAAAAAATGCTTTTTTTTTTAAATGTTTTTGGTTAAAGTTAAGTAAGTTGGTAAGTAAACTTTATATAGCACTTTTCATAAATAAAATGGCAAAGTGCTTTACAAAATATGGATACAGGCTTAATAAAGCAAACACTGTAAGATCAGCTGATAAGAACAAATTACATTTAACTAAAAGCTTGTCTGAATACACGTGTCTTAATCTGCTTTTTAAAGGAATCAACAGAGACCACCACATGAAGAGACGGGCAGATTATTCCACAGCATGGGGGCTACAGCCTGAAAGTATAGGTACCCCGAGTTTGAAACCGGGTGTGGGCTGGAGAATAAGGGATCAACATTTCTGTGATGTATTTGGGGGGGGGGGGGGGGGGGGGGGTCTGTCCATTTAAAGCTCTGAAATCAAGACCAAAATTTTAAAACTAATTCTAAATTTGACAGGTTAGCAAGGTAGAGAAGATAAAACCAGTATAATGTGAAACCTTCTATTAGTTCCTGTTAAAAGCCTTGCAGCAGCATTCTGGACCAACTGGAGACGGCAGATTTGTTAAAACAAGTAAAAAGGGAATTATAATAATCTAAACGAGAAGAGATAAAAACATGAATAATTACCTTTAGGTCAGATTTGGATAACATGGCCCTCAATTTAGAAACATTTCTCAAATGATAAAAGCACCATTTTACCAAAAGTCTTGACTGTTTGTCCAAAGACACCGACTGGTCAAACAGAACACCAAAGTTTCTGAGAAGAGGAGCCCAGAGAACCGAGGTGTTGATCCAAGGAGCTTTCTGTTCAGGAGCAATGATTAGGGTTTCAGTCTTGTTAGAATTTAACTGAAGGCAGTTGTTAGCTAGCCACGCCTTAATATGGGAAACACAGTTCACTAATTCAGCTAACGTGTGATTCTGAGTCACAGAACGGACAGTATGTACAGTTGAATGTCATCAGCATAGAAATGGTAAGACACATTTCTGAAGCTACTGATAATCTTTCCAAGGGGGCTGATGTATAAAAGGAATAAATAGGACCTAAGACTGAAGTCTGAGGAACACCAAACAATAACTAAAATAATAAATTCAAAGTGTGACTATAACAAGATGTTACTGAGCTTTCTCCGTCCATCTCTAGAAGTCTACAAACATTAAAAACTGAATGCCAAGTTTTAACAAATGTTTTTGCAGGGTTGGTGCTCAAAGTATTAGTGCTGTCTTTCAGCACCAAGTTGTAGCTGAACACCTGTAAAATTGACCGAGTTGAAGCCATTTTGTGTACTAAGGGCGATTAGCCGTGGTGGCCATTTTGACCTGCTGTAATGATGCAGGCGGCAGAAGAACGGTGTGAGCTGCAACTCTAAAAGAACTAAATTTTATCAGAAAAAGTTTGTAGACTCAGTCATCCAGGTAGATAACGACTAACAAGATTCTCCCTTAAAGAAACTGGTCCAGATGACACAATCTAACCTTTATTTTCCATAAATTTTATCAATTTTATTCATTCTGCCTTAAGCCTCATTTTGTGTGTAACTGTGTGTTCATGAAAAAGTTTCTCATTTTTAAAAGACCTGTTTGTGAGCAGTTTTTTTTAATCTGGTAAACAATCTTTATTTATAGGTGCTTTATGAGGGAGTGGTGGCACGGAGCTTAGAGAAGGTGGGCCTGTGATCAGAAGGTTGCTGGTTCAATTCCCTGGTCTTGACTACATCAAAATGTGGGTGGGAAAGGTGAAACAACCACACCTCCACCCTCATCTGCCTCCACCCACACTTGCTTCCACCCTCATCTGCCCCACTCTGGGCCCTTGAGCAAGGCCCTTAACCCCACCGTCTGCTCCCCTGGGCGTGGCAGCTCTCTGCTCCACACAGAGGGTTGTGGCAGCTCGGTGGTCTGTGGTTGTGTCAGGAAGGACATCTGGCGTAAAAACAATTGCCAAGTCTTCGTGCGACACAGTTAGCTGTAGTTGACCCCTGAAGAATGGAGCAGCCAAAAGAAGAACAACTTATTGGTCTTTTACTTTGTTTGTTGTGCTGCATTGTTTATCACCGTGTTGAATCCAAACTCATTAAACTGCATAGTGTCGTGACTGAATCTCGTTGTGTTGGTGGTTTCTGCTCAGGTGCCTTTAATGAATCGGATCGTTGCAGCGTATCGAGGCACAGAGATGAACTGGCTCTTCTCTACACCTTTTTAAGATCATCTTACTTACAGTTCAGCTATAAATCACTTCAAGTCCGCCGCATTCATTGAAGTCTTCTACACCATGTTAGCAAGCTTAGCCATGGTGCGTTCACTGACCAGAAAATTTCCTAAAACTGCAAACTGCTTGGTTCTGGTCACCCGTCTATCTCTTGGTGCCGCCCTAGATCTTCAGTTTGAGGTTTTCTGGTTTTTTGTTTGTTTGTTTTGGGGGGAGGGGGAGCGGAGGGGTCACATTTGTTATGTTTTGTTGTTTATTTGTCATATGCAGGTTAACACAAGGTCAACAATGCAACGAAATGTTCAGGATGAGAAGAACTGTCTCAACTCACCAAAAAAGAAAAAAAAAACATGAAATAAAGTACAAAAAGAAAAAAATAAATATAATGGTTATTATAATAATAATATATAAATATAATAACGTAGAATATAACGGTGTAAGTAAGTACATTTAGGAACCGTCAGCCAGCGTGTGTTGCAGTGGTGAGTTATGGAAACTCTTCTCGTGGTATCGGTTTAATAAAAGCAGAATGTGCACTGGTTAAAACGTCTTTTGTGTGTTTGCAGCGCTCAGGAGCCAAGCCACTGGATGGTGAAGTGTTCAGAAGCTTTTGTCCACATCCTGCTCACAGAAAGACCAACATCATCGTCACCAACAGGTCTGACTCTCAGCAGCACGCAGGACTTTGTTTGTGTTGTTGTTTACAGTACCTGCTGCTGTTGTTGTGCAGGAGGGTGTTTTGTGTGAAGGAGCTGGATTTTGTCGGTCACTTTACCACGGATTGGGAATGTAGGTATGAGAACTTCCTCCGTCCTCCAACTGTGACAGAATCCGAGCTGAAGATTTACTGCAAGGTACCAGAGCCGCCAGAACAAACACAGTCCAGACTGGGTCATGACACCGCTACCTCCTGTCAGGGTGTTTCACTGCTTTGTGTTTTGTCGGGTTGTGTTTCAGGAACAGCAGAAGCTGAAACTTCCCAAAACTCCAGATTCAGTCAGAACCGTTCACCTCAAAGACGCAAAGACTGCCCAGGTACTCCGTCCGTCTGAGTGAGGACGACTGCAACAAAACCTTTGAAGCAAGAATCTTAATCAGACTGAGGACATTTCAGCAGGTCCTCACTGGTCCAGACCTGTGGGGGTCCTCACTGGTCCAGACCTGTGGGGGTCCTCACTGGTCCAGACCTGTGGGGGTCCTCACGGGCCCAGACCTGTGGGGGTCCTCACTGGTCCAGACCTGTGGGGGTCCTCACTGGCCCAGACCTGTGGGGGTCCTCACTGGTCCAGACCTGAGGGGGTCCTCACTGGTCCAGACCTGAGGGGGTCCTCACTGGCCCAGACCTGTGGGGGTCCTCACTGGCCCAGACCTGTGGGGGTCCTCAATGGTCCACATGGCAGACCTGTGGGGGTCCTCA